ATGCCCTAGGACCGCAGTTTACCTTGATTGCAAGACCCCAATTTCTTCCAGATTCAAGCAGATAAAGATATTCGTATTATAACGCAATGCACGACTACACATTACGAGATACACCAGATATAAGAGATCCTACTATCGATGTTAATAGGTCCCTGAAAGCCAAGATCATGTCTGCCCTGCTCTAGCAATGGTTGATTCATGGTCTACTGAAGGAATAATACAGATTTCCAACTCTTCTTGTAGTTCCCTCACAAACAAGCTGTTGAACTCGACTCTCACCTCACCGCCTCGAGGCAGGCACAGTGGCGCAACCAATCATTATTACGACAGCTGGCTGAGCGTGCGATAAAATCCCCGAAAAATCATTTGATACAAGGAGAAGTGCTGCGGATATGATGACAGATTGAAGTCCGACGCCGATTGTGTTTCCTTGAGCGCTGATCTGTTGTATCATGGGGTCAGTGACTCCCAATATTGCGAGCTCTGGCCCGACTCATTGGTCGAAAGAATCCAGATTCCGAAACTCGAAAAAATATTTCACGATGTTTCGGCATCAGGTCAGCTTGAACCCTTCAGCATAGTTCTTGTTCCTGTGTCAGTCGTCTAATTCTATTAGATGGATCGACCTCTCGCACGTCAAATCGATCCTCCGCCGTGTGAATATCGCTTCCCGGACGTCACAGTCTAACCATTTCGGTAAAACCTCAAGATTCAGTGGCTTCGTCACAAACTTGAAACACCTTTCTTTCGAGAATGACAACACTCAGTCAACACAGCTCGAGTACTGTCCTGATACCCCGATCCGACCTCACCTCCGCTTTGGGCTTAGATCCCGAAACCCGGAGACCACCCATGTCGTCATTTGCTTGAGACTTACCTTTTCGAGTACAATCATCGAGACAGGCTCAATTCGGAAGCGAAGACGAGAGACAATAAAGATGAAGCAAGAAAATTTGAAACCCATCTCCTTCCCTTCAATCCTCTGTGACTCTCAACCTGTTTACATGACGGACTGGACCTCTCCCGAAACTGTGGCGCACGAGAATGGCGAGTCATGGGTCTTGATAATATGGCGGAGAGACTTTTTATACAGTTGAAACAGTCTCATTCATCAAGCTTCTCCATTGCATCATGGGAGTATTTGCGTAAGGCCGTCCAAGTTGTCCGCTCCATGCTGATACATTGATGCTCAGCTGGGAATGGCTCATCAGTCTTGATTTCGACTTATCGTTCCTTCTGGGTGAGAGAAAACTGAAGTGGCCCTTGGTAAGGTCCACCTACATTGAACTCGGCGTCCAACCTCAGGTATCCCGACAGTTCTTTTACTTCTACGGCCGATATGCCTCGCTTGGCAGTCTCATTGGACTGTCAGTCGCCTCTTTATCGAGCTTGAATTGGCAATGATGATTTACTCAGGTTGATTATCATGGATATTGGCCAGTATGTGGCGTAACTATCTCGTGACTGTGTCGATCTCATTTGAGATCCATTCAGTCCGGTACATTGTCAAGCTGCATACATTTCCACATCTATATTGGGAGACACTGCTATCTGCGTTGCAACTATCAACCTTTCCATTCGAACGCAAGTCCACTCTGACTGCTCATTCTTTGTGCTGACAACTCTCAGAATGGTCGTATGGGCCTATGACACGCGAATTATGGCCACGTTGATTGTTCTGATATTAGGGCATTTCACGGTTATTAGTCTGAACCTCTTCCATGCACAGGCGGACGGGATAGCCACAGGAAATGGATGCATCGTAACTCGCTTGGATTCGAAGCTCAACGCTGCAGTGTTCATATACACCAGCGGAATTGACTTGATAGTCATGTGTTTGATGGTTTTCAAGGTCTTTCGGTACCGCCAGGACAAGATCTCGACATTACTGCTCAGGGATGGATTGATCTACTTCTTGGTGGTGTTAGGATCTCTCCACCTTACACAATGACTTATTTAGCTTATTGGCACTCTTAGATTCTGTGTCAACATTGTTGCCGTGGTATTCAAACTCCTCTATCCAGCACAAGAAATATGCTGATCTTTTTAGATATTCTCTCTGCTGAACTTGAACCCTCTTATGTCTGTCATTGCAGATACCCCAGCCAGCATGTTCGCTACGGTATGTTTGTATCCAGTTCCACTCTGCCGTACCCTTGTGAATCATTTCAAGATCGCGGCAGGACGCGTCGTACGTCGTCTCCATACGCATTCAAGTAAAGAATCAAGTCGTTCTGGGTATGTCTTTCAATGCTAGAAAGTCATTATTTGACAGAGACAGGAATAATTATATTCTTTCGACCCTCCCTGCGTCATTCAATTCAGATTTGGAGTCGGTGTTGCAAAGGACATCCACCAAGTCGACTCAGTGACTCGATCAACTTGATAGAATTACGAGTCCTAAAAATTTATTTTTAGTTCACTCGTTTTTTGGTAGCAACAATTTGACTGGAACCGAATATAAAAGGAAATGCGAAACCTCACGTTTTCTCCGACGTTTCTCCGGACACAAGTTCGATTCCCCCAAGTATTGTACTATTCTTTTGGGCTCAATCAACATCTTCACTCATGCTCCCTCTGCCTATTGGTTTTGGTATTGGTACTCTGTGCTCTGCTTATTCCACAACAATTACTGTTTCCTGTTGTAACTCTTAGTTTCCGCACAATTCTTGACCGAAAATAATACCATTCTTTTTGACACTGAGAGGAGACACATGTCGGAAATCAAGCCATGATATCCGCTGTATATACTATGCTTGCGCTGGGCTTCAATTTAGCTGATCAAAGACACCCATTTCAGTCTGAATTCAGTCGGGACTTGATATTGAGACCGAAGCCGCCAAGGGCACATGTCAAGCTTCCACTGCAGGATTATCATTGGGCCCTTATTTCGACGCCGTAAAACTGGAAAAGCAATGAAATCTGATATTTATTTGGTAGCTAAAAGGTATATAGAGATAGCAACAAAGCCCGTCTGCTTCCCGCTTCCTGCCGGCAGCGGGTATCGAGGGAATTTTGAGGATATCTGATGAAATAAGAGGACAGTTGGAAGGAGCTTGCTGGAACTCTCGAAGTATCACGCGTGGTGTATTTCTACATGTGCGGTATTGATTCTCCTCAATCAAGTGACGTCGCTGATCGGGACACAACCACCCGGGTATTCGGTCAACATCGTTAGCGACCAAACCCGTGATCGGTTTCGCTCTCCTTTGTCTTTTGCATACTCTCTTCTGGATCTTCCCATTACTTCAATTGCTTTGATCTATATGCTGAATCAAATATCCCCAACTAAGCCCTTACCGTCTGTCCATATCTGTCCTGTTCAGTTTCCGCTCTGTTTTTTCGAATCTTCTGACTATCTCGGCGCCCGGGTCACTGAAATCTCGGTAAGATACCCCTCTATTTTTTGGTGATTAGGTGTCGTCAGAACTGCTCTGTTACGGAGACCTATGACACGCCACCCAAGGTTATGACTATGGAATTAGCTTCGGGGGATGAATCATTATCATGCAGCGAAGTCAATCAAAGTATTATATATATGGTAATAATAACACTGCTATGATGGCTTTATGTGACATCACTTACTTTGTCAATGGAAATCATTTCTCATCACGGGTGATCACAAAGGACAATGAGGACTGGTATAATGATGGTATGGTGAATGGTGGTCGATTGAGATTTGAAGGTAAACTTTCCGAGTTCAATGTAGAGAACCTGGCCTCTTGTGAAGTTGGACGAGCATCTCTGGCTGTCTATTCACGCCTCTAGCACTGATGTTCTAATGGAGATGCAACCCCCTATTGAGGTTGTGAACATGGTAGATATATTTGATGTAGATGTTCTCATGAATATATACAACTTTCTGGTTTCGATGTGTCTAGTAAGAATCCCCTTGAGGACTCGTACCTGCCATCGCTGAGTGGCTATCCATCCAACTTGTACACTGAATGGTGGGAGGGAAGGTGGGAGGGAATTTAAAACACAACGAACGAGCTCTGTGAGTGGTGGTGAGAGGAATTCAAAGAGAAAGATCCTCTACCACGCTGCAGGGTCTATATACAGCATCGAGACAAAGGAAAGGAAAACGTGACCGAGGCGCGATTACGTCGGTCTCGGCATTGACCCCGAACAAGCAAGCTTGCTCGCAACATATAATGTAATCCGAGACGAGCTGGAGAAACCAATTGAGGTCAGAATTGCGAGCAATGTGCTCAGAAGGTCGCCAGCTAGCGAGAAAAAGCCCCGAAGGTCACGAGTTTCCAAACTCAGTACCCGCTATCGAGCGCACAAGCAAGTGGTTACCGAGCCTATTTTACTTGTGTCGATTTACATCAACAATCAACTTTTGAGCCGCCTAGTAAGTAAATTTTTATTACGGAGCGGGCCTAATTACGCCATCATACCGTCGCCTATAACACGAGTCTGGCCTACAAACCTGTGATATAGATGTATATGTGCATAGGAAGTTCCGAAAATCTGTTGCATAGGGATATTTCGCGATTCTTGGACTTTTTGGAGTGCTCAGAAACACTCAATCCGTCTAACGTGACTTGCATTCTCCTGGTTGAGATGTAGAACTCGTCGTTCGGATGTCTTGGAATAAAACGATTGACATGTGTTCCTCAATCCATGGAAAGAAGGTGTTACAAAGTGATTTCTACTCGCATTGCTGCGAGGGATTCGGCTGAAAATCTGTTGTTTCAAAAATCTTGGACTCAACTTTTGACTTTGAGTCGACGTGGCTTTTGAAGACTCTCCTGACATCAGCATCTTCTAGTTGATAGAACTTGTTGCTCGAACCTTGGGTTAATCAGCTAGTTAGCCTGCTCTCATTCTCGTTGATGAACAGGAAAGGAAGGTATCGTAAAGTGTTTTGTTTTGGGGTGACAAACGGTGAACAGCTGGAGAAAGAGGTTGGTAAAATGGGAGAATAATCACTTGAAACGGTGACGAGACCACTGTGGGATACGCTACATTGAAGATGAAGCAAAAAACACATTAGCCCACCGCGAGGGTCGAACTCGCAGCCTTTCGATCCGCACGCGCCACAACAATTACATCAGCATAAGAGTCGAATGCTCTATCCGATTGAGCTAGGCGGGCGGTAGGATACGAAAGTGCTCGTCGCCGGTCTGCCTGCCGCTCGGACGTCGAGCGTAACGTCCGAGACCTTCGTCCGCACCCCCGGGACCCCACTCGTTGCGCTCGGGCGTCTTCGGGGTGCTACCGTTGGCGAGTCTGATGCTCTATCCGAGTGAGCTAGGCAGGCGATGTACGAGCCTGAACGATGAGAAAAAACTCCAGAGAGCCATGAAAGAACTGTAGGAAGTAGCAGGGAGGTGGAAGACGTATGCGCCACAGATTCCGCGGAGCTCACGTGAGGTCCGATTTCGATCATGACTAATTGATCGCCGGTGTACCTGCCTCAGGTCCCCGGAATCCCAGAAAGACGCGCCCGAAACAGCTTTGACTTGACTTTATTTGATATTTGCTCCGAAATCTTTCTGATATTATTCAAGACTCGAAACTTGATTGAATCTCAAGCGGTGATTGTTTCTGAGCTGTCGAGGATCCTCAATATCCTCCTCACACCTTTTTCCATATCAAACCATCGTCCGATTACATCAAATCCGCTTTCAACTCGAACTTGTCCCACATCTGCACTGAAATGTTCTGCCCAAAAGGCGGTTCTCATCGCGGTTTCTTTCTGCCCTCAGCACTCTCAATTCTATGGCAGATGCTATTTTTTTCTTGGACTTCAGCAACATCAGGTTCCATCGGTGGTCTGTGGCGCATATATCCCGCATATATCCAGTATTGGTGTCTGGCCATGAACATTGTCGAGACTCACCTTGAAGCATCCCTTCTTCATAAGTTTCACTTTCAAATCGTGACTCGGGCTTTCCTTTCGGCCAGAAGCAAACGATAGTCGAGCAATGTTAAATGAGCCTAGTTCGAGAGGACATTACAGTGAACCTGGTGGCTTCGGAGATATATATCTGTAAACTAAACTCTGAGGCACCGGCAACTCATCTGGTTCTCAGATGGCGCATCAGCCATCATCTCGACCCAATATCTCGTCGAAGGTATCAGCTCCCCAATCGCCCTTTCGATCTCCAAAGAGCTCCGTCTCAGTTTCAAACACTTTTTGCAAAACTGCCTGACCGTAATCTCCCTCAAGTTCCATCGAAAACCCAAACTGGGGTCGGTGCAGCGCAGACAAAAAAGCTGCTCGCTTTCCCGGAAAGGCTGCGAAATATCTTGTTCGTGGTGTCCGATACGCAGGAATCGGACATCGAGGTGGTGAAGAAGCGGGAAAAGCGTGCTGAGCTCCTCTAGAGCGTCTACCTCAAAGTTTTTGATGGTGACTCCGAGGCTCTCTAGCGCCACAAAAGAATGTGAAAAGGGTTCCAGGATGTCGTACAAGTTGTCGAAATGATTCCATAGGACAAGGGCCGTGAGTCCATGAAATGGTAGCTGTATGGATGGCATTGGTGGTAGATACCTAAAAACCCGGGTATCAAAGTCGAATTCGAGACTGTGAAGCCGGGGAAATTCAAAGCGCGAGAAATGCGTAGAGTACCAGCGATGAAATCGTGATCCATACTCGGAGGATGTGCGAAGACTGAGACTCTCAAGAGTCTCCCTCTTGGATTGCAGTAGTGCGTTCAACGCTTCCAAACTGCCAGTCCAAGCAGCCTCGAAATCCAATTTCAAGGCCAATTTGCTCAAACGCAGCGTTTTGTCTGCCAGTAGACTAAAAAAGGCTGCGAAATTGCGACTTCCTGGGTCGGATGACAACGAAAGAGATGTTAGCGTTTTAGCTTGAGTGAGTAAGACTGGCCCGAGATATTGAGTCAAGCCATCAAAGTGGCGTTCAAATGGTGGCGGTCCAGTCAATGTCAAAGTGAATGCCTGAATGATGGAGTCCGGCAAAGAAAAAAAGCATTGTCCGGATTCGCTCAAATCGACCCAGGACGTAGTGATGCTGAGGACAGACAACGACTGGTACGACGTCGAGAGGATGGAAATAAAGAATGGTGCGACTGACGACAGATTGTTGGCACAATCAACCGTGAGATGCTGAAGATTGACCAGCCTCTCCACCGTATTTTGCCATATTCGAGTGCGAACGTCGTCCCGAGTCGTCTTTCTCCAGGCTGTCAACTTTCCCAGGACGCCTTTGGAGCGAGACTCAGGTTGCCATTGTACAACATGGGCATCGATGTAAAGATGTCGAACGCGACGAGCCAAAATCATGAGATCAGAGTCGCTGCATGCTAATGTCAGGCCACATTCGTTAAATGAGACGGATATTACCTCATAGCGTCAAACTTTGATTGCCAGTCAATTCCCAGGTGCATGTCCGCAGAGATGACATCCTGAGCTAGGTTGAACAACAGCCTGTTTACGCCGATGAGTCTTCTAACGAGATGTGGGGGCAGAAATGAAACGATATGGAGCCAAAGCTCGTTAGGAAGTTCAATGGCCATGATGGGAAAGGACAGGAAAGATACGTAACCTGCTATGTATGTCTTTGACATGAAGAGACCAAGGCAGTGCAGAGAAACGGGTCCGCGATACGATCCTAATCAGGATATCATGATGTATCATTCCTTGAGGCTGTCAGTAAGGATACCTAGCCGTCACTGATATGCCCATGCCATAAGGATACGGCTTCTCTATCGAGCCTCTCGGTACAATCGGGACAATGTGTCGAATTCGGTACCACGAAATCTTTTCCGAAATCATTTGTTGACTCGGCTATCCCACTTACATTTTCTATGTAAATCATGCTAAGGCTGTATACCTGAACATCTAGAATCTTTGAAACGAACCATGTTGCGCCATAAAGCCAGGATCTAAACATAGCCTGTAGAAAGCAAAGTCAGAAGAAGAAGAGGGAGAAGACGAGCGGAAAACAGGAAAACAGAAACAAGAACAGAGACATACCGTCCAAATAAGTAGGTTTCGTGTCCATTATCACAACCCAGGTCGAATCTTTGGCATCGCTGCTTTATCCATTGACATTCGCGATTCTCCTCTTTTTCTCTGGTGCATGCTATCCAAAAGGGTGTTTCGCGGAAACCGAGCGATGGGTCAAGGAACTAAGATACAAGAATCTTCACAACGGGCCTTCGGAACAAGATTCGCGTGCAAGGACTCACTTTTTGGTACAAGCATCCAACGCCTTTTACTGCTGCTCTGCATCGCCACCCTTGCTTCGCCAGATAACCATGCTCCCCATAATCTCGAAAGCCACTAATGGACTTGGCCCTACTTAGCGACGACTCGGAGCGATTTTCGATTTGAAGAAAAACATACTATGGGTTCGCGGGCACCGCTCACACGGCATGATCTGCATTTATTAAGGATAATGAAGGATTCAACGACGAGGCTACTGACTTTTTGCGCCTCAGAAAGGATATACCGTTGGTTGGAGCCGCCTTGTTGGGGCCAGATTTCTGATCTCGTCGGCCTGCTTCTATTCGTCAGATTGGACGGCAGTAAAATGACATTGTTGGCTATAACGTCGTCTCTGACCGCTGTAATGTTCGTCGGATCGGTATGGCGGTTTAAAGCACGGATATCCAGAGCCTAATTCTTCAACAGAAAAGGGGGTAGAGATGGCGCTGGTCCCTACAGCTCTATCGACTCTCGAGCGGACCCCGTTGAATCACGGCCTGGCTGACATGGCCAAAGCGCAGACCACTGTTGTTGACAAAGCGCAAGCTGCCTTTTTTGGATAGAGCCCATCGACGGCTGAGCTAAACGGCCAATCAGAAGTCAGCCGACCACGGAAAAGAAGAAATTCACCTGATATCGAAAGCAGCGAGCCCTTTTCGCCCAGCTGGACCGAATTCGTCGTCAGAGCTGGACTCGTCGACGGAATATCCGTTTTTTTCACGTCCTTGCAGGCGTCCTCCCAGCATCGTGATTCCTCCTTTATCCTAGTCCAGGCTTCCAGCGTATTTTTCTCCTGTAGGCCAGCAGGTCCGTTGAGGCCATAATACAGCCCCAATGAACACCATGATTTCCATGCGCTTTCTCCTTTTGCCGCTTCGTTTTAGGTCGAAAAGAGACCAGGGCCTGGTGAATTCTGGATTTAGCCTTTGAGGCCCGTTTCAACATTTCGGGTTTTCGCTAGTCTCTCCTAGACAGACTCGTTACGATCGTTTTCGCTGAAAGTACTGGTTATGACGATCGTTTAGCTGGAGCGGCTGTCAGCCGTACATTCTGACATGAGCCAGTGGAGAGAGAAACAAGGTGCGAATGGCAGTATTTTGTCGGGCAGTAAAATACAAGGGAGAAGAAAGGCTGAAAAAGGCTCGGCGTTATTTTCCGTCCCCGAATTTACACGTGCAAGTTTTCGGCTGCGGCTGCCAGCCGAAGTCAAAGATTGTGGATTCAGAGACATTCGCTAATTTACAAATAAAAGTGACTGAAGTACTAGATAATGTGCTCCAAGCGCAGTGAGTAGGAGAACTGGAAATGAGATGATGATGCATTGATTCCTATGGAAAATGAAAAGCGACCAAAATCATATAATCGCTCTAATCAAAGCTTCAACCTTGGGAGACCTCGGACGAAAGACGGAACGGAAAGGCTCAGGAAGTCTAAGAGAAAAAGGTCAGAATATCGAGCATCGATGAGCAAAGTCGGTCTTACTGCATCAAGCCCGAAAGATAACCTCCAGAGGGAGTAATTTCGACACCGTTTTCATCCACAGCCTTGCAAATATCGAAGCAGGCGACAATGGAGGCAATAGTGCACCAAACCATTGCTTGACCCAGGTCCTGTTCGACATAATCAGTATCCAACTTGAAAGATTTCAAATTGCTGTACCTGGCCTGGACAAGCTCGACGGAAACCCATACCAAAGGCAAATGTTGGATAGTGGACGGTAGGATCCAGCAGTCCGTCCTTTATGAAGCGCTCGGGTCTAAAGTCATCACCATCTGTTCCATAAACGGAGGAATCGTTCAGCATGGCCCTGGAATGCTTCAGTCAGCGACATGGGGAGAAAAGGCCGTGAACAGAAACGTACCAGATGTTTCCCAAGACCATCGACCCGGCAGGAATCTCGTAACCGCAGTGTTTGT